CTAACTAAAGACTATCGTTTGCTCTGATGTGTTCACGCCTTCGTTGTCGCCAGCCGACACCCTTGGTACGACTCACTACCATAGATAGTAAGCCACTAATGCTGATAAATAATATGAATATGGTGAAATACCACCCTCTACCAATCGCTTCAACCAGCGGCTGCAATAGTGCGGAAGATAGGGCACTGAGACCGCACCGAGCAATCTGTGCCGACGCATACGTCGTGCTCGGCCTTTCTGTAAAAGTGTCGACAAGCAAAGCACTTGCAGTATGGCTTAGTAGCGTAGATGCAGCGCAGATGAAGAACTGAAGCACAATTGGCACCGCGGCATGGACATGTAATTTCACAGCCCACCCGTAGCCCACTACGCAGGCGGTCATGAAAAGGAGAAACCATTCACACCCCCGGTATCTGGCCACTTCCAGAGGAAAATGGGAGCTGGCATGTGCAGTTTTGGAGCTGATATCCAGGTTCAACTTCCGCGCGATGGTGGCAAAGTTTCTATCCAGAAGCTTGCCAGCTAGAATTCCACCGAGTGTCATGCCAGCAAGGCCAGGGAGCAGCACTAGGCCGATCTGTAGTTCGTTATACTCGTAGACCTCCGAGAAGACAACCGGAATGGCTACCTGGAAAGTATAATAGACTGAGTAGGAGGAGGCGATCATCCAAAGCACCGCCGCGGCTTCCGGATAGAAAATAATACGAAAGGAGTCCAAGGCCTGCAGAGGTTGCCATTCCAGTGCTGGCTTCTGGCTCAAATAGTCTTGGCTAGCTTGAGCTTGGGATTGGGGTGTATCCGATCCACGATCCTCTCCGTCTTTGAACGCCTTAGGTAAAGATACCCAAGTCCGCCATACGCCGGACGCTGGGAGGCTCCCATTTCCTACGACATTCCTCGCCGTCTCCGGCAATGTGAATCCTGTCAGCAGCAGGCACACGGCAGCTACCACCAGGAGGGCTACCCACACCCAAAGGACACCTCCAGTTCCCAGCGCGATTCCACCCCCAATCATGGGGCCTACAGCCGAAATGCCGTTGCAGAATGCTAGCATCGGTCCAAGCATACTGCCTCGCTCTGCAACAGAGACTATATCATATGTGAGGCCGTAAGCTAGGGGAGGCATGGTCGAGCCACCCAGACTCTGTAAAGCTCGTAATGCTACCAGTGCATTGTAGCCATTCCGTCCCGTGCTGAAAGTGAATGATAGAATAAGGCCAAGAGTTGCAACTGTATAAAGGGCGATCAGCCCGAGAAGCACCGGTCGACGGCCAACGGCGTCGGCAAGTGAAGCGAAAAAGGCAGGGGACACGGCCTGAACTACAACGTAAACAGTGACTGTCAAGTTGATGGCCTGAATCGACACACCCAGCTCAGCGCTAAGCATAGGTATCAGAGGGAAGTAGATGGTTGCTGTGAGCGTGGACAGGGTCAGAATGAGGCCGAGAAGGTAAGTAAGGTATTTGCGCATCACTTGAGAAAACGCGGAGTATTTCTGGTCGCGAGAGGCTTCCTGAGCTACGTGTATGGCCTCATTCTGGCCCAGCTTCTCCCGGTCGGCGATGGCAACTGCCAGAGGCGTAGGTATGGCGGTGAGGGGTCGAGAGTCCATGCCAGGAGATTGTTGATGAGAGGGACTTGAGGAAAGCATTGCGAGTTTCCGTGATAAATCAATTGTACTCTAGTAAACCGTCGAAATTCATCCAGATGCGCGACCTGTTGGAGCCGCAAACCGTGTCAATTGAGGGCAAGCAAGTTGCTCTTCCTTACGAGTTTTTGTGCTTGACAGGTTTGACATATCAGGTTGAAAGAGAGACAATAAGTTGAGCGTATGAGGTAACGCTTGACAGAAGCCCCCAAGCAAACCAAGTTGGATCGAGAATGTGACAGGCGAAGGCAGGCTGTGTGCCCAAATCAAGCCGCGCCGACTCCTCTCGGCCCCAATTGGTCGCACGACATGCACGAGTACTAAGAAAGTACTCAGTACCTGATACGCACCTACAAGGAATTTGATGGGTTTCCATGTACTATGCTCTACAGTCTGGTACTTTCATAAACTCATGCAATTGAAGTAGCGTGATTCTTCTGCGCCACCGTACCTCCAATAAAGAAGCAAGATGGTCTTAAGAAATCCAGAAGATTGCACATCAAATGAGCAGACTATTGGGGCATCTACCAAACATTATTGTTTTGAGATCAATCTCGAGATCTCAGGGTTGTGGAGGTCAATACCTAGCACGAAGTTCCGGCCGGCTATTTACAACCTAAATCCAACGTCGCCAAGATTGGTACCCCGCTTTGCGGTGACGGTTCCTGTACCCGGGACTGCTGTTTACACCAAGACATGGCGTGAGCTACGTGGACAATATTTGCCTACATGGCGCCCACCTGCGCAAAGACGGAACGTTGTTCCGCCCATGTTGGCGCGTCTTGACACCGCCTAATCACATATGGGTCCTGAGACCCCTATTCTCTGGTCGCAGGAAGGTCGTGGGCGTAAAGAGTTTCTCTCTGGTAGTAGACATCCAAAATAGTCACCGGACACCACTACCATGGACCAGGGACGGCACCAGGAGCAAGAAGAGTAACTCACGCGGTCATCAGCGTCCGGGACTATGAATCTTACGGTCTACAAGCCGTCTACAAACCCACAGCCATGCAGAATGTTTTCACTGTACGGTGGGTCGAAAGCTTGGAAAGTAGAGATCGGAAACAAAATCACTCGGGGTTGACGTGCTTGCGTCTTCAAAAGGTTAAGACAAATCCGTAATAACGGGGAAATCAAACTATTCACGATGGAATTAGACATTGAAAGACATGATTCACTGTTGCCATTCCGGAGTTTGTATCTTCGGTGAGTTCGGAACTAATGACTTACACGCCGTCTAGACGCCACTGCTGATATGCATGTTGATACCGGGCTCGTCGTCTCCGAGCTGCTCCTGACATGATCGAAACAAACGGCAGACCGGCTTGCAGTATAGACACCCGACACTGCTCATATCCTCAGTTTATCTCCTCGTGGGACACAATCTTGGCCCCTGTCTTTATTGGGTCGATCGTTTCGTCGTAGGCATCAATGCCGTCGATTGGAGCGTACTTTTCGCAGAGGTAGCACATGCTATTGTAAGCCCTACGGCATATTAGTGGGAGACTTGTGATCTAAGAATGATGGATCCACCGAGACTCACGACTTTCTTAGTCTGCTGCCAGGATGGCCGGCAGAGTAGTTTATGCCCCCTTTGAGGCTATACAGCCGGATTCGATCGTCAAACTCCTCAGCGGGCTCCGCCATCCCGAAGGACTCAACGTATTGGTCCATATATGCCTGGGCACCAAACGTTGCTGAAAATTCACAGACCCAGTGGCCTAGCTCCATCTCGTTGTGTGCAAAGTAAGATCCGGCGTCGAACATCATCGGTAGATTCGTCTCGTTGCTAATGCCTGTGTTTCCCTCCCACAGGTCGCCATGAATCAGGCTGGGTTTGATCGGATTCCCGTTCCATGTGAGGCCCTCAAGAAGCAGTGGGATAACCTTCCAAGCTACCTGATGTCCGGCAAGCTCATACTCGGGCCATGGGCCGTTCCGTTTGATGTCTAAGCTAAGCGTATGAAGGAACATCTTCCGGTAGAACACGGCCCAGTCTGATTCCCACTCGACGATGTGCGCGCGATCACCATCGCATGTAGTGACGTGGAAGCCAAATTTGTCTGCAAGGCGTTGACTCCCAAGATGAAGTTCGGCCAGGCGCTCGCAGAACATCGAGGGATCTTGTGCCGTTGTGACGTCGAGGTCAACGAACTGAGACATGTAGAAGTAAGTGGGCGTGTCTGCTTTCTTATACTTCCCGTACCCAAAAGGCTGCGGTATGAAGTCTGGCATAAGCTCGTAGATAATCTTAGATGACTCGAATTCGCCCAAAAGCATGACTCTGCCGGTTTCTCCGTATGCTATCTTGACGAAAAAGACCGAGCCGACGTTTGAAGAGCGAGCAATTAGCTTGCCAGTAATGGTCCAAGCACTGTACCCAAAATACACCACTGAGACAAACGCGAACCCGTCTGGCAGAGCTGCAGGAAGTTAGACCTCAGAAACAGAGTGCAAGGCTCAGGGTGAGGGTCATTGATCATTTAGCAGACGTACCGTCAGAAATTGCCTCATCCATCGGAAAAACACCATTCTGACGAACCCTCATCTCCTGGATCAACAGATGAGATGTCAGGTCATTGTTTGACTTGTCAACCAGGCCGGCAGAAACGTTGTTGTTGTTGTTGTTGGCGAAACTGATGTCATTGTGGTCATTATGTTCAATGACGCTGTTCTTGCTGTCTGTGTGAGGTCCGCCAGGAAGCGCCGCAGATGTCTCCATGCTGCCTCGTGTTAACTCTCGGAGTTGGAACAAAGGCAGACAATATGCACATCGAAAACTCAGTTCACAACCAGTCAACTGAGAAAATGCTTCGACAACGGACTGATTTAAACCAACAACGAAATGGTCAAGGTGTGGACTCATTTATTGCAAGAAGCCTCCGTCACAGAAGTGACTCTGGGATCTGTTTCTGTTGAGCTTCTAGTCACAAAGTATCTTACGTGCCATGTGCCCAGCCTCCCCCCCTTCCAGATCATCCTCATGCAAGCATCAATATTGAAGCAGGCTGCCGGGATAGTGTTCCGATAATGATATTGATTGCCAGCAGTTATCTCTAAATGTGGATTGTGGCGGCCAAACACGCTCAGAATAGAAGGTCACACAATCACACCAACGCCGGGCACATAACCAACGCGCGAGCTCCGCGCCAAATTGTCTGGGTATTCAAGCGGAGTGTGTGGTTTCGTCGACACAGCACTCTTCCATTTCCCGGTCGGGACACAAAATCCACGTCTTGCATAATAGGCAAGGCTCAAGGCAATATAGGTAGTAGGTACATGTAAAGTACTGTAAGCAAGTTTGTCTTCCGAGGCCGCCGATGAAAACACGGCGTGGAGCCTGATTTCTCCCATGAAGCCAGAAGATAACACATGGAGCGACCCTTGCGAGGCGGCTTATGACGTAACGTGAGTTCGAACGGAACCGTTCCTCTTCTTCTTACCATTCTACTTTTGTGTTTTCTAGATTGCATAACCTTAGCAACAGCGCACCACAGCATTTGACGAGGGATCCAAGACAACATGGTGTGTATATCTCGTTTTTGCTGTTGATATTTCGATATTCGCGGGACATTGTTACTCGAACGTGTTCTTGTACGTTCCAATTGACAAGGCACTCGTTGGAGACACCAGACCGTTTGCTGACCTTCTTTGTCTCGCAGCTCAAAAAGTTGGGGTTTCGCAAGCATTCCAACACCTGATTCTCACGGCACTTTTGCGCCCTTGGAAAATGTTGAGTCTCAGGCTTTCACGACTCCATCACGAGGCAGCTCGTTCTCCGTGCCAGCATCACTCACGACAAGTCCGACGCCGCGCGTAGACCAGGATCCAGTGGGGCTCAAGGTCATCCACCGGCCTGTTGGAAGGCCAATAGCTGACATCATATTTGTCCATGGGCTCGGAGGAGGAAGTCGAAAAAGCTGGTCGAAGGGTCACAACCCCGATAACTGCTGGCCGAAGAACTTCCTCCCCTCCGAGCCAGTGGTTCGCGATGCTCGGCTGCTTACCTTTGGATACAATGCAAACTTTGGAGTTGGGGAGGGCAAGACTATGATGTCAATATTGGACTTTGCCAAAGACTTGCTGTATGATATGAAATATGCGAAAGATGAAGTAGGAGAGAACTTGGAGGATCTTGGGATTGGAGAGGTTAGTGATGCGTTTTGCAATATCCATCATACCGGGCCCTTATTGGTTGATATCTTTCATCCTTCGGTACTGATTATGCCGAGTAGTGCCCTATCATTTTCGTGGTGCATTCAATGGGCGGGCTGGTTGTCAAAGAGGTATGGAAGCGTCCTCACGTCTTCCCACATTGGATTTTCTTTATGTCTCCCATCCATGCACGAGATGAACTGACACGCTCCGTTTTATCAATCTACCTTAGGCATACCTTCAGGGCCAGAACGACCCGATTTTCGAGCACATCATCGAACGGATATCATCTATCGTCTTCATGTCTACACCGCATCGAGGGACCAACCTAGCTAGTCTCTTACATAAGGTCCTTCAAGTGTCTTTCGGCGCTAGCTCGAGACAGTTCATTACGGAACTGGTGGCGGGCTTTTCGACCTTGGAAAAGGTGAACGAAAACTTCCGACATGCGGCCCGAAAGTTGCAGATCGTATCTTTCTACGAGACTCGCCCAACGCCGGTGTCCAAATTGAGTCAAATGGTACGTTGCACACGTCAGGTCACATACGGATTATCAAGAGCCTTTCACATTGACTCAGTCGGCTTAGATGATTTTGGATAAGGATTCTTCTGTCCTAGGATATCCGGGTGAGATATCAAAGCCTCTAGACGCAAACCATAGCGAGCTATGCAAGTACGAGAGTCTGACTGATCCACGCTACATTACCGTTCGCAATGCTCTCATCACCCTCATAGAGGAGTCAAAAAGGATGGCGTTTCTCGCCTGGAGCAGAACAGATTTCCGTGGATCACTGAACCCCAAATCGGGAGTGCATCGACACCAATGCTGGAACTGGATCCTCCAGCCCCGCCATCTTTTGATAACCGCTTTGAAGAATTGCTTTCTGTCACAACGCGACCGCAAGACGACTTAAAACTTTTTCGGAGATCGCCTGGTATTTGGAACATGCTCGTGGATTCTGGACACCAACCCATTTCAAGATTGGGCCCATGATAAGAGCCGCAAACTTTGCGTTCTGTGGATCAACGGCAATGCAGGAAGTGGGAAATCGGTACTTTCGTCTTTTATGATCAACCACCTCACTCAGTCCGGCTTCGTTTGCTACTATTTCTTTATCCGATTCACAGACCAGAAAAAGCGTACTATCAGCGCAATACTGCGGTCATTGGCTTTTCAGTTAGCAACCTCAAACCCATCTTACGCGGCGAAGCTTCGAGTGCTTGAGACGGCTGGAGTGGACTTCAAGTCTGCCGATTATCGCACTCTGTGGCTATGGTTGTTCAAGCAAAGCCTTCTCAGCTTGCGTCTGAACCATCCCATTTACTTCGTGCTGGATGGCTTGGATGAAGCTGACAGTCCCGGCTCCGTCATCCGACTTTTGTCCGAGCTATCGCTCGCTGCCGTCCCCCTTCGAGTCTTGGTTATCAGTCGCAAGACACCCGATATCGCAACGGCCTTCTCGAAAATGTCCCGCCAGGTCAGATCCGACGCAATAAGTCTTGAAGGCTCAACCCAAGACTTCCGTGTCTACATCGAACAGGAGATGGACGTGGCCGGCGACGATATGTATCGCGAAGAGGTGACGGCCCAGCTTCTGGAACGAGCGGGTGGTAATTTCCTCTGGGTTCATTTGGCAGTGCAGAAGATCAACGACTGCCACACAAAGCTGGATGTCCAAAACGCATTGGAAGACCTACCTTCCGGAATGGAAGCACTGTATGATCGGATGGCTCAGTCTGTTAAGTCAAAGCCGAGTGTTGAGGGGCAACGACTAGGAGAAGCTATCCTGAACTGGGCAACTTGCACACAAAGGCCGCTCACATTGGACGAGCTTTGCGCAACCTTGCGAAAAGACGGATTGATCGAGAAGTCTAGAACCATCGTAGATCTCTGTGGTGGTTTCGTGACCATAGACCGGGAAGATTGCGTTGCAATGATTCATGAAACAGCTCGGCAATACCTGACACGGAAGAAGACCCTCTCCCCAGTGGCAGTTGATACTTGCTCTGCTGATAGTACTATTTTCGGCAGATGCATGGCCCAACTTAGTGATCCGACGATACGAAGTCAGTTCAACCGGAAACGACCACCCGCATTCTTGGATTACGCCATCAGGTTCTGGTTCATTCATCTATCACGAGCATCTGTTCACGGCTCCACCGAGGTCCTTGCCACTACCATGAAGTTTTTGAACAGCCCGTCGATATTGACATGGATTTACTTGGCCGTCAGGATCAACGAGATGAGGCTTTTAGTCACGGCATCGCGTTACTTAACCGATATGGTGGTTGGCCTACGAAGATCGACTGCAGTTGATGAATCACTTATCCATCGCCAGACTGTCCGTCTTGTTGAGGGTTGGGCCACCGACCTAGTGAAGATCGTTGGAAAATTTGGCAGCAACCTCCGCCAATCGCCCGATGCTATTGACAAGCTCATCCCACCATTCTGTCCCCAAGATTCGGCTATATACGAACAGTTTGGAAGCAAAGAGGGTCACTCACTTCAGATCTCCGGGTCCTTGAGCTCCGCATGGGATGACTGTCTCACACGTCTGTCTTTTGAGCAAGGTGCATCAGCATCCGCAGTGCTTGCTGCGGGTAGTTTCATTGTTGTTCTAGCGACCATTCATACGTCAAGTCATGTACTGATCTACGATGCTGTCACATTTGAAGAGCAACGAAGATTCTCTCATCCGGAACGAGTGCTCTCCATGCAAGCCAACTCCTTGGGGGATTTGCTCGTTACCTACGGGTATCTGACTACCAGAGTGTGGAACCTTATGACAGGAAACTGCCTCCAGGTTGCAAAAAACCCGATGGACCGCCCTCGACCCCACTCTCTTCGCTTCATCGAGGACGACCAGACTGTATTAGTTGCGAATGAAGACCGGTGCATTCGGAGACTCTCTGTTCACAGCCCCACAGATCCCCGATGGACCATACATTCCGAAATCACAGAACAAAGATTTGAGGGAACTATCCACAGTTTTCCCAACTGTTCGGCGCTCAGTCCAGATGGGACCATGGTCGTCTTTGGTTATCGCGCACATCCTGTTGCTGCATGGGAACTCGATCCACCAAAAATGCTACGTCAATGTCACATCCCCGCGGATGAAGCAAACATATCAAGCAAGAGAAAGACTGTGGGAGAGGTTTATCATCTAAGATGGCATCCTTATAGTGGTGAAGTTCTTGGCTTGACTCAAATCGGTCTGATGTTCAAGTGGGATCCCTTCGAAGAGGAGACGAGGCTGATGGTAGGCACCGGTGCCAACAAGATGGTTGTGTCTCGGGATGGATCCCTCATAGCAACTGGCGACCCCCGAGGCACAATCAAGATTTTCGCCACAGCCGATTTCTCGTTGCTATATCAGCTATCTTCGCAAGACTTCGTTAATGATCTGGCTTTCAGTTCAGATTCCCGGCGGCTTTACGATATGCGCGGGCCTTATGGCAACGTGTGGGAACCAAACACATTGATTCGTCTTTCAGACAGCTCTGAAGTCCCAGATCACAACAGTGATGCGACTGGTGAGACGGAAAGTCTTGCCAAGATGTCACTCCTCCCGGAGCACCAGTCAGCCCGAGTCAATAGCCTGAACATTCTCTCATCGCAACCGCAAGGCGCTCTCTATTGTTTCGGAACAGACAACGGCCTGGTAGACCTCTGTGAAAACGGCAACGGCACAATTCTCCGGATGGAAAGGTTGAGTAGCCGAATGTCTGTCACCCACATGGCATGGAGTGATGATGGTCGTCGGATCGCACTGGCTAATCGAGCTCGAAGGCTTTGGATCAAAACTGTTTCCCAAGGCGTCGATGATCGCCAAGCTTGGAAGGCTGATTCGGAGCTCAACGTCATCCTTGCACCTCAGAAAGGCAGGGCCACAGGTTTGTTGTTTCAAACGGCAGGCCAGAAGTTATGCGCGCGCACGCCCTCCATGCTCCTTTCCGTCGATCTCGAGACCCAGCATTGGACCGAGGCTGAACTTCCGAAAAACATGGAGCAGTGCAAATGGATCAATCACCCAACCAAACCAGAGTACCTGCTTGCCTTCGGACCCAGTAAGGTTCGAGTCTTCCAGTGGTCTACCATGCGTCAAGTTGGGGAACAGCGTTATTCGCAACCACATCTTGTTGGGCCATGCATCTCCCCAGTCTCTCCCACAGAAGGCCAGGGTGATGAAGATGAACATTACACAGTGGGAAGGCTCCTCGCGCAGGCCGGATCATCACGCATTCTTCTTCAGTTGTTAAGCACCACTGTGTCGAACCGACTTAGGCACAGGTACTTCCTTTTCGATGTAAACGAACTGCGGATAAAATCCCGAGATGAAAACGGCAACAGCGGGGAAGAACTAGTATTTTGTGACTCCTCTTCCTTCGCATGCGTCGCTCTTCCTACACGCATCGCATCTCGGATTAGGGAACCGTTGTCGCTGATGCCGCGTCAGAAACTCATATTCCTCGACGTTGAGAGATGGGTCTGCACGTGGCGGCTTCCGCATTTCTCACCTACGTCGACCCCGTTGGAGGCTGCAGATATCCAGAGATACTACTTTTTGCCAGGAGATTGGGCGACAGCCGACGAGGCGCACCGTTGTGTGGTGATGGCGGATGGGACACTGCTTTGTCCAAGAAACGGAGGAGTAGCCGCTGTTCAGTGTGCAGACCTGTAGACCCCCCCCCCCCCAAGCGAAGTCGCCTCTCATAGGCTAAATTCCCCTGTCAACACGGCATATTTACCTTGAGTGGAATGCAATCAATGAGGTCCACCTTTCATGCGAGAAGGATTTTGCTGCAAAGAGCTCGTTGCGACAGTTACATCATGGATTCGTTGCTCTGCGAACAAGCTACATTCGTTTCATACCTAATATTTAGTTCAAGGCCAGCCAGGTTGTGCTCAAACACCATGTTCAGAGAAATTGTTCTCAAGTTTCTTTTGTTATCCTGCCGCTGGTCATGCTTTTCATTCTATGTCTTGTCTCTTCCATCATATTCCCTAACTGCCGATTCATGTCTCTCTCGATCAACCTGAATGCAGGTCAATAGAGGGTGAGACGCGGACACAACATAAAAACAATAGTTGCACACAGACAGAACTGTTCTAGAACTTTAATCCATAAAATTCGTTGCAAGCCGCGCACTCCTCTTCCTTTAGGATTCATGAAATCTCATGCCCCTACGCCGTGACTCTCCCTCCTGCGGCGTTTGCAAAATAGATCTCGCATTCACATGTCATCAAAGTGAGCTCGTGATTCAACTTTGACTGATCTAGTCAAATGCCTTGCGTATATGTGCTCAAGATACTTTCCCAGTCCTTATCACTCCAGATCTGTTGGTCAGCATTTCCATCAGAGAACATGAAATCCGAGAAACTCAGATCAGTCTCCATTTCCACATTACCGTCAGTCATCTCAACACTAGATTGCCGCGGTGTTGTCTTTTCCTCTCGTGAGATTCTCTTCACCATTGCCTCAACATCTGAGAGCAAGACATCGTGATCTTTGGCCGCGGGGTTGCCGACGCGAGCCATTTCTCTGAGTAGTGCTCGTGTCCGCGTGTAGAGTGCTACATCGTCTTCGCTGTTGGGGTTAAAATTTTGACCTTCCTCGATGGAGACTCGGGCGAGTGCGAGGATTGCAAGACCGGAGAATAAGTGTAGAGATTCCCAGTATCCGAATTTCGCTGGGCAGACAATCGTTAGCTCCTTCCTTCTAATTCAGGGGCACCACAATGATGCAAATGCTTACCAATCTTATCGTAATTCCAGAGCCCGAGGAGGATCTTGCAATTGTTCCGTGCGGCTTGAAGACACTGTATCTTGACGGTTCTCATCGGATCATCGGTGTCTAGTGGTGTGTCGGTCCCGGTGAAACTCGGTAGGTTGTTTAATCGTCGCTTTTGAACGATTGAGGAAAGCTTTTGAAGGTAAAGTGGCCTCAACAGTAAGATGAAGCACTGGATCATTGTTAGAAAAGAAGTCGGCGATTGATCCGGGAAGTAATGGAACGCGAGCTCACCTGGTGATATCGCATGTAGGTGGATGCAAGGATTCTACCGTGAGGTGCTTCCATCAATCTCGTAGGCAGGCTCTCCTCGAAGGTGAAAGCTACTTGCTGCGGCAGACTCGATCTCCACTCCTGCAAAGTGTCGAGACATGGCTTAATAATCTCTAGTCGACGTTCGTCATCAACATCAACGTGTTGAGCCGCCGTTCTTACAACATTCCGCTTGATCTCGCAGAGCTGAGTTTGCATAGTCAGAAGCCCCGGATCAGAAAACTCCTCGAGGTCTTCAGCGTCTAGTCCGGCCGATGACGGGAGTTGCATGCCTTCTGGCACACAAGCCACGGCGGCAGCGACGCCAAGCTCCGTTGATATCATTCTGTCCATGCAGTAGGATGTCCACCAGAGCCTCTTCCTGTGTTCGTTCATAACGCGCACTTGGCGTTGCTGGTCTGGGGCCTTGGGCAGAGGATGTGGCTTGTGAAGATGCAAGAGTTTGGCCAGCGCAACACTTTGGCTGGCGTACGAGTAAGCCGTTTTACGTCGGTTGAGTGAGTAGCAGTAAAACGCCAAGACATGTTGTCAGTGGTTTGGCATTGGTTGATAGGCATAAGTACTCACAATCAAGCAAAGTGCCTCTACATCTTCTGGCACAGGCTCTTCCGCAGACATCTTGAGAAGCATCAACCCTTGTTCGAAGAATTCGGACCCCGGAGGTGGCGGCAGTGTTTGCGACGTTGACTGAGAATCTGGAGGCAAAGTTAAGGGAACAGCAGCTCCTCTTTGCGGTGGACTGGTCGGATGCTTCCCTGCAATTTCCATGTGGACAGCTGAGGACATTCGAGATCGATTCCAGCTCTCAGCGAGGGCCAAGACAACTGAAACCCTGCACAACCAGTTGCGATCGTGAGATTGCGACTGCGGGTCCGAGTAGGTCAAAAGGATCCTTTCCCGGAACCTCTTACGGAGGAACCAGTGATATTCACTGAAGCCTTCATCAAAGGCCTGGAGCAGGTGGAATGCATATGGTCGGGGCGGAAGTCGGAACGAGACTTCAGATTCTGTGCATCGCATAAGCAAACGTCTTGTTGGTTGTTGTGAGCAATCGACTTACGTAGAAAATCGAACTTCAGCCGAGAATATGTGTAGCTCTCGGCATTTGTGCCGGTAGACTCCCTAGTCTGTTTGCTGGTAGGATCACCGGATGCTGCTGTCCACGAAAGTTGTCGGAGCCTCTTCACGAAAAACTCTGCACTACAATCTTCCAGTTCCTCTTCCTTGATAATCTGACTAGATTTGGGCGAGAGCGGTGTCGCAAAGTCGTTTGGATCCGTACGGACCGACTCTGGCGATGAGATCGGATCTCCCGATCTTTGCGCCACTGCTGGCTGTCTCTCGAGTCTCCGCAAATAACTTTGAGGGACCGTGATGTATTTCTCTCTTACGGGGTAAACGCAGGGCCTCCCTCGGGTTTGACATCGCTCGCATGGTGCTCCTTATGGGCATCTCAATTAGCACAAGAAAGAAGTTCGCAACTGATTACAGCAACGTACCGCCATTGCACTTGAGCTTTTGCGTATGACAGGCCTTGCAGGCTACTGCGCTTCGACCTCTTGGCGTTCTAGTCATCATCACAACTAAGTTCACGATGTCTCAATTGGTCTAAAAATCACAACGGCAAAGGGACATTTGTGCTCCATAAGAAACTGGATTCAACTCGAAAAGACTGGTCGGATCGACATGCTCCTTTGCCTGATGTCGTTTGCCGGCGGTATCGGAGGTGGGAAGGTCCAAGACGATGGGCAATACGGGGTAAAGAGGAGGGACCCACGTCGACCACGCGGACTGATATCGACGTGCGGAGGTTTTTACTGATAACGAAAATCTTCCAACCCGTTTTAAGTAGTTGGAAGTACTGCGGTATGTTTGCTGGGTCGTACAGAATGATAGCGGCGGGGCGGCATGCATCGGCCCCTGCTAGCTGTCATGTGTAATGGCGCAGAACTGGGATGTGTCAACTGGCGAATTGCTATTGGTGTTGGCTGCCAGGACCAGGCTCTACTGGATGTTGGTAAGTATTCAAAGCTGGACCACGAATCCTGCGTTGCAAATGGGAATAAGGGGGACTGCATCACGTTCAGATACTTTATTTCCGAGAAGACACAAGCAAGTGTCAAGGAGCTCTGCGTGAATAATCCATCCCCAATCTATCAAGTATGCATGTCTCATTAAAAATTGGCATTAAACCAGATATTAGTCTAGAGGCGACTCCATGTCCAGGGGAGTTTGCCATCACCAGCCGCATTCCGGCCTTTCCAGCCTGATAAGTCTGAGATATCGCGGAGCGGCCATGGGTGAGGATCTTGAAAATCATCAGGAACCTTTCCAAATTTCCAAGCCCACAGATCCTGCCATTCCTTACCCAATTTCCCCTCGAGCATGTCGGCGACGTACTTGCCAATGACTGGGAGGAACTTGAATCCGTGATTTGATCCAATCGTCGCGACGAACAAGTTCTGAGTTTCGGGGTAAGGGCAGATTCTGAAGTTGAGATCACCGGCTAGACCGTCCCTGAATTTCGAGTTAGCATGGAGGATTCGGAAGAAATGGAAAAGCCGACAAGATCTCAAGGATGATGTCTTAATACATACCAGCACATTTTGGAAGAGATGAACGGCCGGTCAGCCAGCTCTGGGATTATCTCTCTAACAAACGTACGCATTTCATCTTCGACTTCCTTAGGGCATCCGTCGTCTGGATAATCGCCTAACGAGTGGAGGATAGAAGCCCCTGGAACATATCTGTTGCGATAATTTGTGAGACATCTGCAGCTGCATAGCTTGATTAAGCCATTCTCATCTGGTGGAAAGATGATGCCTAGATACCTCGGTTAGTTTGAATGCGCCATGTCACTCTTCCAAGATAAACTGCCTACGTACCCTGCTCGAAGTCATCGATGATTGGCATATCCTTGTACCTTTCGATCTCGTGCGGCTCCAACTTCATCACACAGATGACTGATGTTTGTGCCACCACTTCTTTCTTCGCATCAACTAGGGTCGCAGTATTGGCACCAGTGGACAACACAACTATGTCCGCCACGTGCAGTGTCCCGTCTGCGGCCAAGACACCCTCGCACTTCCCGTTGCCGTCTAACACGAGCTTCTTAGCATGACCGGATTCTCCACATATGTATTTGACCCCCTGTGACTTGGCGGCGTTTGCCATTCTTAACAGAGCTTGTCCGGACGGCGCCTATTTTGCCGATCGTAGTCAGTTTGTCGTCACTTTACTACGTTGTCGTCCTGTAAGTGATATCGGTTGGCAAAATGGAAACTTACCCAGCCAGCCGCAGGACTCCACAGGTTGGTCCAGTCCGGGAACTCCCCCGTCAGAGCGGGCCACCTTGTTTTCATCTCCCCGGCCGTCATGAACCGCACCCCCTCGCGACCCGCCTTCTTGGCTGTCTCCATGGCGCTATTGAGCCATCCCCGCGTCAGGCCGTGGCCCGCCATGACCCAGCCGCTCTCGCGATACATCCCTGCAAAGATGGATTTGGGGTCCTTCCACTCCTGCATGCTCTCCATGCCTAGCTTCGCGTATAACGGGTTAGGGTAGTCGGCCCGTACGACCTTGTTCAGGTCGGTGGCCGCAGAGTCTTTGGAGGGTGCGTCGAAGCGATCAAGCACCGTGACGTTTTCATATCCTCTTTGTGAGAGGTGGTAGGCTGTGGAGGTACCAAAGACACCTCCGCCTACGATGAGGATGGATGGCTTGGCCATATTGAAGATGAGGGTATTCTGAGAGTTTCCGGAACGGACGACGTCGAGTATGCGATAATTTGGTCTTTAGTGTTTAGTCTACCCTCGAACTGCTACCTTTTCTACCTTGAAACCACCTTTCGGACTCTTATAACCAAGGAGGAGAGTCAAGTTCGGCCGGTGATGCAAAGACCACCGACCAAGATGCCGAAGACGTTTCCTACGGCCGCACGCATGCGGCGCAGCCTTGGGCAGAACATCCGTGCTTCCCCGGGAACCATATCGGTGGGACGGGGCTAACTAAACATTCCCAATCAAATCGCCACAGTGACCGCGCAGCAACCTAGATCCCTTGCCAACTGATGCCTGCCAATTCGTGCCAAGTGTGCCACCCCTCGATTCTACTGCAGATTCAACGGACGATAATGCCGTGAGCCATCGGTCTCGAGATCCGCCTCCGCGACGAAATGACGAGAATGTTGGTTTGTGCGTGTGCGCCTATCAGTCGGGTTCGTGGGGCCGAGTCCATCGCCGAGCCAAGCAGGGAATCAATGGTTAACAAGGCTGGGGAGGACTCAGGAGACACAAAGGGGAAGATAAAGAGGGGACGATTGGCACCGCGTCACACTTGGATTCTTGTGCGACAACCACATCATAATACGCCTTCGGCTTCTCAGCTCTAGCGGCCGAATGATAAAGTGATAGTTCTCTTGTCCCAATTGCTTCTTCGTCTCTCCCCCGCAATCTGCGACTCTTAAACTTCCGTCCATAGTCCTTAGCTTCAAAACTACGGCATCCTTGCATTAACAGCCGTTACAAGGTCGATGCTGTTCAGACGACTGACAGCTTGACATTGAGCGGAGACGGTCGCATTTAGCCTGTTTTTCTGAAGGCACCCTCGTCCTTGTCAAAACGGGCACTTATCTTGACAAGAAGATACCGATAACCCGTTATCACGATTAGAGGAGTGACCCGGACTGAACCTGTCAGAGATCCGATTATTCGACTACCTTAGTCAATAGGTCAATTGTGTACCAATACAGACCTCCTTATTCAGAAACCGACGGCTTCCTGAGACCGAGGAGCGCAGGTATATATCCGTTCCACTTGTGTCTGTTCTCTATGACGGGAGTTTGAAGAAACGCTACTCCTGTACCCATTTATTCTCATCATACCCCTGGAGTTTCCACTGAGGGGCAGCGACAAAGATGTCGACCGAAACCAAGGAAGTAAAACCTTCTGACTTGCAGAAAGCAGCGATGGACTTGACATCGGACAGCAAGTCCAGTTCCGAGGGGCAGACGACGATATGGCCTGAAAGAGAGTTGCCGGAGCTTCTCAGAGACTTGTCAGAAGAAGAATTGAAGAGTCTTGAGAAGAAGTTGATAAGGAAGGTTGACTTGCGAATGCTGCCTACAATGATTCTGATCTATATCATGAATTACCTCGACAGGTCAGCAAGCTGCGTGCGCCGGATAAGTCGACTTTCAGACTAATGATTTCACAGAAATGCCATCGGCTCGGCAAGGCTGGGCGGTTTGGAGAAAGACTTGGGTCTGACTGGCAATGAATTTCAGGTAAGCTGAAACTCAAGCAACTGATGAACTTCAAACCCAGAGGCTTGTAGCTAATTCGGTAATTACTCTAGACTTGTGTTTCGATTCTTTTTGTGGGGTACATCCTGATGCAGGTACCTTCAAACATGTTCCTGAACAAGATCGGACGTCCTGCGATCTATCTGACGGGATGCATGTGCGTTTGGGTTAGTCTGATTCGAAGTTTCTTCTTTCTTTGTCGCGTTCGGGATCGACCGGTTAGATCTCACTGTCGCGTTGGTTGGCGAGCCCATGGCCGCATAGCGTGGGTGTAACGTGACGCATCACTTACAGCACCGGTTGCTGGAATTTATTCATTCGGATCTCGGTTTGTGTAACCATCCTTCAACAGAGCATCATGCTGATGATCATGCAAACTACCAGGGCGTGTTATGTGCCTGTAGCGGCGCAACACATAGCTTTGGCGGACTGGTGGCAACTCGATTCTTTCTTGGGTTTGTTGAAGCAGCCTTTTATCCAGGTGAGTAAAGAATGGTACCTCGCCCGTAAAAAATAACTGCAGAGAAAGAAAATCCTAACGAACGAGTGGTATCAGGCTGCCTCGCAACTCTCAGCTCATGGTACATTCGTAAAGAACTTGGCGTCCGTACCGGACTATTCTACAGCGGCTCCATGCTTTCGGGGGCTTTCTCGGGTCTAATCGCAGCCGGCATCACGAACGGCATGGACGGCGCCCGCGGCCTGCTAGCCTGGCGTTGGCTCTTCATCATCGAGGGATCGCTTACCGTCGCTATTGCCCTCGGCGCGTTCTTCGTGCTGCCAGACTTCCCAGCCAATACCAAGTGGCTGACAGACCAAGAACGACAGCTGGCCATGTGGCGCATGGAAGTCGACGCTGCGGGCGAGGAGGACTGGACGAGCTCATCATCGCAGCCCATCTTTGAAGGCTTCAAGATGATCTTGGTTGATCCTATCAACTGGATTCTTGTCGTACTTGTCTACGGCGCCGCGTCCTCGATTTCGATTAATAGCTTCTTCCCCACCGTCGTTGCGAGTCTCGGAAAGGATCGCATCACAACGCTGCTTCTTACTTCGCCGCCTTACCTCTTGGCATGCATCGTTTGCGCGGCAGTATCTTGGAACGCCGACCGTATGAACGAGAGGTACTGGCACACCGTCGCCCCGCTGGCTTGCTCGCTCGTCGGATTCATCATCTCCAGCGCCGCGACAGGCATTGGGCCCCGATACTTTGGTGCCATGATCATGCTTCCTGGGATCTATACTGGCTTTAATATGTCCATGGTTTGGACTGCTAACACGATCTATCGACCTACGGCGAAGCGCGCCGCTGCGGTGGCGTTTAACAACGCGTTTTCTACGCTCTCAGGCATCTACGGATCTTACTTGTACCCCAACAACGCGACGCCGAGGTTCGTCTTAGCTTTCAGTGTGAATGCCGCGATGGCGTTGATGGCGATTGTTGCTGCCACTGTGTTGCACTTTGTTTTGAAGAGAGAGAACAAGAAGTTGGAGATGAGGGAGCAAGAAGCTGAGGCTGCTGGGCAGGCGCAACTCATTGGAAAGGGTTTCAGATATCTTATTTGAAGGTAGAATGCTGGAATGGATTCACGAAGACAAGTTTTCTCATTTAGCATACTCGTCCATTCTTGACTAACTATTAGATCTTCTCTTTCCTCTTGGTATCAAGCCCGTAGTCTCGCGCAATCTTTTCTGCGGCCAGTTGCCCAATAACATAGGCAACGATCTGAGGATCTAGAAGCACTTGTCAGCAATGAAATACACGAAGCTATTGAACGCGACGTAGAAGGTGAGCTTGTAGCAAACTTACGACCACTGTTGAACTTTTATCAGCAACTATCTTGTATCACTTTAAAGAAGATGAGAAACGTACCTGGGTAGTATAGTTGTCACACTTAGATCCGCAACCCGCAAGCCGTTCAAGCCATGAACTCGAAGGTCTCCGTTGACACAGCTGCCATCTCGCTCGCTCTTACCCATCTTCACGCTGCAAGATGGATGCCATAGTCCCGCCACGTTCTCTTGGATGAAGTCCTGGAAGCTCAGTCAGCGCTATACTTAGAAAAGTGCAACTACCCCTAATTGCTGAGATAAGCTTCAAACTCACATCAATATCCTTGTCGCTCTCCGACTTTGGTGCAAATATCGGCCTGACGAAATGGTCTTTCATTGTGCTGGTCTTGAGGAGATTGAGTCCTTCTCTTAGCGCTTCTCGCAGGTTTACCAAATCGAAGGGGTTGCTGAGATACTTCGGGTCAATCAGAGGGGGGTCCGCAGGGTCGGCTGAAGCCAATTTGATTGTTCCTCGAGAGACAGAGTTCATGTTTGCAACGAATACCGAAAAGAATCCGTCGCTAGACATTTCGAAGACATGATCAGGAGGAATCAAGGGTCCAATCTGTAGGTTGACTTTAGTTGAGGGTCATGCTCTTCAGCCCTAGTACAACTTACGACAAGCTCATAGCTAGGGACACCTTCCTCGAGCAGATAGCCTTTCACATCAGCGGGAAGTTTCTTGAATTCAGGCGACTCATAAGCCCGGTCATTCTTGAGGAAAGCATGCGGAACAGACGAGAAATGTCCCAAAAGCGGTCCGTTCCCACTTTCTGCGAGTTGCTTCACGGCCTCCTCGTACTTGCTTGGGTCAGAGAGCCCCATCCTATCAGTGAAGCCGGACTTCATCTGAAAGCAAGTCACAATCATGGGGTGGTCTGTAAAGGACTTCCCCACACCATTGAGGTTCTTGACTACGGGGATTCCGAGGGCACCCAGGTCTGCTTGAGGTCCGATACCTGAAAGTAGCAGTAGACGGGGACTGTCAAGGGCGCCGGCTGATAGAATGACTTCGTTCTTCGCTCGAACTGAAGCTCCAGGGTCAGTGAATCGCCAGGTATCAACTGGGCTTTTACGCAAGCTTACCCTGCGAACCATCTTCCTTCAGAACACCCACAGCACGATCCTTCTCAAAGATGATTTTGACCACACGACTCTCGGTCAGAACGGTCAAATTTGCTGGAACATTCTTCTCGAGGAATGCAGATGCACCGGTTACTCGGACACCATTCAGACTAGTTGTCGAGTTCAGCGAGAAACCAATTGGGTCACCATCGTTGGGGTCAAGGTTGCGCTTGTGCTATCATGGGGTCAGCATCACTGTCCACTGCCTCACCCATTGTCGTCTGGCTTGTCAATCAACCCACCCCGAGATCAACTCCAGCGTCGATAAAGGACTTTGTTTCTCGTTCCACGTGTCCGATGGAGACGTCGATGGGCCTGATTAATGTCAGAAAAGTGGATCACTGCAATGAAAAGTGACTTGTTACCCAGAGAAACCGTGATACTTCGGATCGGGCTTCACATATTCAGCCCACTCCTTGGAAAGATCATCAAGGTGGAGGTTTTCCAGCTTTTCGAAGTCAGCTCGAGACCAAGATAAGGTGAAATCTCTCTTCAAAACTGGTTTTGACTTACCTTCCTAACCCTCTCAATGACGGATTCAAATCCCCAAGCATCATCACCTGCGGCCGCAGCCCAGGCATCGAACTCGGCGCGCGCGCCAAGTGACCAAACCTGGAAGTTGGTAGCACTCGACCCTCCTAGACCCTTGCCACGAGCCTGTGGCACCTCGCGATTTTTTGCATGCTCCTGCGGCGTCGAGGCATAGCCGTAGTCGAGACCCGGCTGTGCGATGGTGCTGAATCTTTCAGCCGTACGCCTATACTCGGGTTTGCTGATGTCACCGCCACCTTCTAACAACGCAACACGGGGCTTCGATGCCGTGTTTGCGAGGCGGGAGGCGAGAAGGCACCCCGCTGTGCCGCCTGATCGTCGTTTGTTGTTGTTAGTGCGGTTTCTCCTCTCGTGAGGGGTTCGTTGTGATATCCGAGGATGAAGAGGCGTGACCCCTCACGGCAACCTTGTCTCCAGGAACATTGAACTTACCACCGACGACTATGAAGTCGAATTCTTGCGTCATGATTGAAATTCGACGGTGATTGAGAAAAGGTTTGATACAAAGTTGGGTTGCGTCGGGCGCTATTTGAGTCAAAGTTCACATCTACCAGCTTGCTTTTTTATACTCCAGCGAGCTGAGAAAGTGTCTCTCGTTTATACACACAAGCCACCTGACCTCCGCACCTAAGACTCTAGGCTGAGAGATCATCTCTCTAGCGGCGAAACTATCGGCAAATGTGCGCGGCATCGCATTGTTTTCCCCTGGTTTCCATCTAGCCTTACGTGGGGTCGCGGGGCAGTCTGCAGCGCTTTGGACAGCCCGCGAAGGAAGCTTGAGTTGTATTGGTGATCCTCGCACGTCCAACGCGAGGTTGGCATTTCGCCCGATGCGATGCAACTCTGACACTACGACTTTGAGGCGTGCTGATGTAACTCAAGTTCGCAATATCGAAGAGCTCGTTGGCCAAGGTGAAGGGGTCTACTTTTCCGACAGCATTTGGGACTTGTGAGGATGGCATTCCCCAAATCATCTGTGACTATTTCTTAGGTACCTATGTGGGTTGCATTGCACAATCGTAACCGAATGAAGCGGCTCGACAACTCAACAGCTTTTGTATTATCGAGCCACACTGTTCAGTGAGGTGAAGCAAAAAACAAAGATGAGTAGAAGAATGTATTGACAGTGCCTAAACAAGATATTTGATACCCAAAATCTAAACGCCAGTGAGCCAATGTCCTTGGCTATGCAACCCACGCTATGCCCCTCCAAATGAACTTCAATGCCTACGCTGAAATGCTGACTACCTGTCATGCTCCATACAACAATGCATATTTACAATTGCCATCCCAATCACAGCCCATCAATCGTCACGAGTCTAGTTCTGGGGCGCGCCAAAGATCTCGTTGAGGTCGCGCTTCGCGTTGCGCTTGATGCCGCACTTGTTCAAGCAGGCGTCGATGCCGAGAGCAATGTTAGCAGGGATGTGCTTACGGAAGCTCTCAAGATCGGCACCGTCAATCGTCTGCACGCCGCCGAGGGTGGCAGAGACGACATCCGGGCGGAGGTTGAAGAAAGCTTGAGCAACCTGCTCGACACCGGGGTCGACGTTGTTGAAGCCGGCAACGAAGACGGCATCCTCGCAGTCGGGGTTGAACTCCTGGTGGATCGCGCCCTGGGGGAAGACGGACATTTGATACGTCTCCATGGTGTTGGCGATGGGGTCGAGGCCGTTCTCGACGACGAAGTTGGTGACAAGGCGGCCCTTGACGATCACGTTGAGCTCGGTGGCGCGGTTGTGGACGTGGGCCGTGTTCATGCCGCAGGGGCCGAGGAAGCCGAGGGTCATGGCGGCGCCGTTGCCGATGAGGGCCGGGAAGGTCTTTGCCGTGGCGGAGGTGGAGAAGCCACCCTTGCCGCGGGACTCGGAGCCCTCGGGGGCGCCGGAGTCGTTGAAGTCGAAGACGAAGTCGCCGGGCTGGTTGAGGAGGCGGACGCGCTCTTGCTGGGTGGGTGCGGTCATGAGCTTTGTGATAAGGTCTGCGTTGCCGGCGCGGGTGTTGACGGGGACGATGGGAGGAAGGACATTGTCGATGGAGCTGGTGTCGGTTTGGGTGGAGATGGTGGCGGAGGAGGAGGGGTGGTTTGGGTTGGTGGTCGGCGCGGCCAGAGCAGCGGCGGAGAAGAGGATGGAAGAGAGAATGGTGGAGGTGTACATCTTGACTACTTTATGTATTCTTTTGCTGTAGGAATGACAGACAGGGTATCCGAGCTGACAAAGGAGACAAGGAAAAGAGAAATAGGAAAGATGAAAATGCGGAAAGCGAACTTGTTGGCTTGTTGATGCTGTGATGTGTGTGATGATGAGAGGAAAGAGAAACGAAGAGGCGTTCAATAAGGCTGTTATATAACTTCATTGCGACACAAAAGGATTGCAGTATTGTGGACTTCATCAAGTGGCCGCAGATGAGCGTCAGCCTCATTCGATCCCACAAGCATACATCTTAGGTGTAGGTTGGTTAGGTTGGTAATTCCCACGATATGGGGCACAGCATCCTTCTGCTGATGGCTTTGGAATCATACCAACATAGGCTACAACAAGACATCACTCATTTTCCCGATGGGTGCAAAATGTCAGCTTAGTTGTTGCCTCGTTACTGAATCTGGCCTCATGTTGCTGACCAGCAATCTCAACAACCTGGCCATGAGTCCAGAATATTGCAGTCTTGGGATGGCAGCTGCATGTTTGTGCTGACGGTCCCCAGGGCTGACGTCGGCGGTGCACGGTAGGCGTGCCAGTCTCTTGGGTCCCTTCTGGGAAACAAACAGCGAAACATGGTGGGGAGGGGCGGGAGTCTGTTCGTCCGGAGGAGTGTTGTCAGCATTTAGTCGTTGGTTGGAGCTGCCAAGTAGGGCTGTGGGATTTGGGCGGTCTATGTTTAACTGTTTGCTTTTTTATCCTCCCGTTCCACGTGATACTTTTCAGTCAATCTGCTTCTAGTCTTGCAGACTGGTCGGTGTCTCTCAACCATGTTTGGTGCCATGGTCACGATAGGTAAAGTACTTGAGAAGTTCCTGACAGTCCATCCCGAACCAAGTCAGTAGATATTCGCCAGTGAACTTTAACACTAAATTTGCAGTGACGTCCTCTGCCAGCACTAAGGTACCTGTGGAAACTCGCCTGGCAAGATGCCCAACCCAACAAATACATGAACCGTAGCGCATCGTGGAACCTAGTAGTTCATGGCCAACATTGAAATCAGTTGCGGTTACTTTCAGTCATTGAAGAGAAAGTTGATTCCAACTTAGAAACTGTAGACTGCATGTTGACGGAGAGGAAATCCTTCCAAGGCTGATGGGCCAATAATCCCTGCTTCGAGCCCACCCACTGCTCTTGGTAGTGCTTACATGATTAGAACAGGCTGCAGAATTTAGCTGTGCGGCGGGGAGGCGAAGCAGCTATCCTAAGCTTAATAACGAGCTGCGCATTCTAATTTCGTCCTAATTCAATCCTTTGTTTATTCACCGGCTGCGCATGCAGGTCGCGAACTCTTCACCCAAGACAGTTCCCTAGGCAGCACCAAACGTGCAGCTCCTCTCCAGATGCATGGAAATCCTTTTCAATGTGTACTTGATAAGATATGTCCGAATATGTTATCATTTACTGCAAGACCAGAGTATCTGGCGCTGGTAATGACACGGGAGGCTTAACGAGGAAGAAGATTTCACGTCTCAGGTATTACCTCAGCGGATCATTGCTGGACGGCACGGTTCAATTATTCCACGGCGACGCGACCGAAAGACTTTCTATCAGATGCGATGTTATAGGTGACATCATTCCGATATTCCATGCAATGAAGGAGCACTTCTTTCTGCACCAACTTCTCGGGCTAAATGATGGTGAAATAAGGTCACGTCCATATATGTTCTTTCATCAAACCAAATTTTGGCTCAGAGATCTTTTATAGGTGCATCCCCTTCAGTCTTGCCAGTGCCATACTTCTTTACCTTGTTCTTGCTAGCATCCTTATCCGCAGCGAAAGCTTCAACCTCTTTACTGTCCATGACCTTGATGACGTTGTCCGCTTGCCACTTCTTGAACGAGAACCCAACGCCCCTAGGATATGTGATTAGCTTGATAATGGGCGTTCCTCATGTCCGTGATGAGCTTACTCATGGCTGTAGTCCTTGTCATTGGCCTGGTCCTTGTGGTACTTGACCTGAATGAAGTCGCTGTCGACGGTGCCAGGATCCAGGCTAAGACTAACAAGCGCATTGATCGTCGCAGTCTTTGGGATGAGCTTAAAAGTCCAGCTTTGCTCGTTCCTGAACTGAATTAGGTCTCGGTCATTCTTCACAATCTCGTACCCTTCGTTCACGCTCGCCTTGAAGAGCTTAGGCAAGGCGAACCACTGCCCTGCCATCTTGTACCGGTCGTTGGCGTAGACAAACTGGTCGTCGTAGACGCAGTCAGCGGTGTACCGCTTCACGCGCTCGACTGTGGGCTCCATTGAGTACAGCGCGATGATGTCGTCAATCAAGCGCTGACGCGCTGGAGAGAGGGGAATTGACTTGGATGGGTTGGGGTGGTAATCCTCAGTGGTCGAGGTCTGGCGGACTTCAAACTCTTCTCCTGGGGTGGCAGAGGTTTTGCCGGGAAAGTTGATGTGCCCGGAGTCTGAAGACATCTTAGTAGTAGTATGCAATGTACGATGAAAGCTTCTGGGGGATTGTGAACAGACTGTTGCGAAAAGTTGTGTTCTGAAAGCAAATCTCGACATAGATGAAGCTCCTTGTCACGAGTTATGGCACGCAGCAATGGGCATACGGAGTATAATAAAAGTGGCTTAATATATTAAAATAAAAATAAATAAAAAAAAAAGGTCTATATATACGATATCTAAAATAGATACGTAATTTAGTACGTAACGGGTACTTTATAAAATACGGTTACTATTCCTATTACGTAATATACCCCCTAATTATTATTATTAAAGAGCTATTATACCCGAAATAGAACCTCTAAATACCCTTATAAAGGCCCGATTTAATTAAATATAAATAAAAAAGAAAAAATATAAAAGATATACGTTTTTTAAACTACGTTTATTATAAATATATCTTTTTATTTAAAATAAATAGAATTTTAACTTAGAATAGCGCGTATTTTATTACTTTTAGTATATAAATTATTAAAAGCGAGGTTACTTAGCTTCTTTATATATATTTAAATTCTCGTAGCGTTACTTAGCTATTATTTTTTTTTTTTTTTAACTTTTTTATAGTTATTATAAGTACCCCTATTTATTATATATACGTACTTATATTATTAAATTGTTTACTAATTTTATTTTAAATATAAATATTTAATATATTTAAAAATAATAATAAGTTTTATATAATTTTTATAATACTTTTTATATATATATTATATAGTTTATTAAAAATTTAAATAAGTAATAATATTAATAAGCCCCTCTAAGTTATTATTCCCCCCTATAACTTCTTATTTATTTATTAAGGCCCGGTTATTAAGCTCTCCCTTTTTAACTAAGAGGATATTAAAATTATTAATTAAAATACTAAGAACTTTATTAAATTCGAGGCTCTTTTTAATAATTATAATAAGGGTAATAATAAGGTAAATAATAATAATAAGAGCTTTAATAAGCTTTTACTTATCTCCTCCTTAGAATTTAAAAATAAAAATAAAATTAGTTTAAATAATAAGCTTTTTAAAAAAAGTATATTATATATTATTATTTTAAAAATTTATATTTAATATTATTTTAAAGTTTAAAAAACGCAAAGCTAGTTTTTTTTAAAAAAATAATAAAAAGTAAAAAAGAATATTAAAAAATAAAAATACCCCCCGTAATAAGTATAGTTTTTTTTATTATTCTAGGCCTATTTAATATATACTTAGTTTTTAAAAAGCTTAAGAGAGAGGCTCCTAAGGAACGGGAGGTTTAGTACTTACCCTATTTTAAAATAGCCCTTTAATATATTAATTTTAAAAATAGTAGTTATTATTTTATAAAAAATAGTAGTTAATATATATACTATTTTAATAGCTATTTAGCTATAGAATATATTAATATATTAATCGTTTTATAATTAATAGCCTAGGCTTTTATTAAAGCTATTGTAAATAGCGCTTCTTTTTTTATAAATATATTATTCTTTTTATTATTAAAAAATATATTCTTAATTATAATTTTAATAAAATATTAATAAGCTCTGCGTTATTATTTATTATATAAAAAATAATAAGAAGATATATAAAAACTATATTAGGTTTTATATAAAGAACTTTTTTTTTATACGCCCCCTACCCCTTTTTCTAAGTATACTTATATTATTAATTATACTTATTATAATCGTTTATAACTAGCTTTTTATTATACTACCCGCTCCTATACCTTAGGTTATTAATTTAATAATCGTTCTATTTCTCGCGCCCCCCGCTACCCCTACTATTCTTAATTTTATAAATTTTAAAATATATAAAGCGCGTTTTTTAATATATATACTTACCCTCTTTATTAACAACGCTATACTCCTAATAATTATATACTTTATAAACTAAGAATTTAAATAATAAGTATAAGCCTAGGTCTTATTTTTATATATATATACCTTATAAAATAAAGTTATTTTAAAAGTTTAGGCCTTTAGGCTAAGAAAAGTTTTATTTTATTTATTTAGGCCTTCGGGCTATACTCTAAGTTCTATTTATTATCTATTTTTAAGTATTAAGTTTTTCTAAATATAGCTTAAATTAATTATTTTTAACTATTTTAACTATTTATAATAACTTTTTACGTATTATAGAGGTTAAGAAGTATATAAAAATATTTAAACTTAGCTTATAAAAAGTTTTTAATAAATCTATTTATTAGTATATTTTTTTATTAATATATAAATAACCTCGAAACTATCTTTAGTATATTCTTATTTTAGCTATATATTTTATATATTAATATAACGAAGTTAAGTAGTTATTCTTTTCTCTTCTTTTATAATAAATCGAATCGTTTATTAATTATCGTAGTTAACTAACTATACTTTTCCTAGGTTAAGGGTAATATTTTTAAAAAAAGCGCTTTAGAACTATAGTTTTTTTTATAATTTCTTTAAAATAAAGAAACTTAGTTTTAATAATTAATATTAAAATAGGGTGGGGCGATTAGTCTTAGTAGTTCTTTTTTAAAGCTAATTAAGTATAAGTATTTATAGGAGGGCTAATCGGAATAAAATATAAAAAAAGGGCCCTAATTAAAAATAGTAAGTTTAATAGCGCGGATTTTTATTTTAATTATATATATACTTTTTAAGATCGAACTAGAGCTTTTTTAATAATTTATTTTTAAACGTAATAATATAAAATAATTAAGAAGTCTACTTTTTTAATTTAGTTAATATTATCCTCTTTTTTTTAATTATAACTCCGTTAATTAAAGCCGTATTAACCCGATTAAAAGAGGTATTTTATATTATTTTTATAAATATTAGTAGTTTTTTTAAAGTACCGTACTATAAGAGTCCTTTATACCCTATACGTTTTTAATAATCTCCTTTTTTAAAAATCCCTTTTTTATTAAATAAGAGAATAAATAAGAGAAGACCCGATTCGATTAGAGAAGTTTTAAATAATTAATTAAGGAGAATAATATAATAATTAAAATAAATATAAGTAATAAGACTTTAATTTAAAAAAAGTAACTAAATAATTAAAATACGAAAGTAAAAACGTATAGGAAAGGACTTTTTATTTAATAAAATAGGGGATATAATAAACTTTAAAAAGCGAACGAGATAAAAAATAGAGGAGAACGCGGATATATAGGACTAAATTAGGCTTAAATATAAAACGTTATAATAATATAATAAGACGAATAATAAGTTAAAATTAAAACTAATAGAACGTTTTAATAAGTATAACTAGTTATTTAATTAAACTATTCCTTATTAATCGATATAGCTTAGAGACTTAATAATAGACTTATTTAGAAGTACGGATACGTCGGACTAAGGGTATTTATAAAACTAGTTTTTAACTAGACCTATTAGTAATTTTAATTAGTATTATTATAAGCTTAATACGACGTCTAATTAAAACTTTAGTTATATACTTAGTAAGGATTAAGAAGAACGGCTTAAATTACGTTAATTAGAATAATAATTACGCTCTAGTTATTAAAACGGCTCTTTTCCTCCCTTTTTAAACTCTATTTAAAATAAATAGACTAATATAAAACTATCGAAATTATAAATAAAATTAACGAACTATACTTTTAATAACCTCGGATTATAAATATAAATAACTAATACGTTATTTTTATTATTATTAGTACCCCTTAAGACGTTTAATCGTACGAACTTAACCCTTTTATTTTAAATAGACTGTTTATTAAACTAGCTTTTATAGTTTATTAAGATTTATAAATTATAGAATTATTAAATAATAAAAAAGCTACTCTTTTTAATAGATCTACTTACTAATTTAATTAGAAAAAGCTAGTTATAGTTTAAGTTAAAATAAATACTTTAATTAATACTTTTTTAAATACTATTACTACTTAGATTTAAATAGCTACGTTTTAAACTAAAAGCCCTATAATTCTTTAGCTTAATTTAATAGAAAATATAAGTTTTTATAAAATACTATTCCCTAATTAAGAAGGGACTATAGTCTTTAAAAGCGATAATATTATAGATTTTTTAAAAAAGTTCGAGGATTAATACGAGATTAGTAAGGTCCCGGACCGATTTAGGGATAAATTTATTACGTATATTATAAAAAGAGATTATTAAACTCTAGTTAAGGATATAATTAGAGGATTACTCTAAGCCTAAGCTAAGGATTTTTTTTTAAAAAAGTACGGGAAATAAAATACTAACCGCTTTTTAAATAAAGAAAAGTAAATTAAAAAAGTTACTAAGGGATTACTTATTTCGTTTTCTAATCTAAACTTTATTTAGGTACTATTTACTAAGATTAATAATATAATTACTCTTATTAAATAATAAAACCTCTATATTATAATTAATAAGAGCTTAATTAAAGCTATATATAAGTAGTTCTATATTAATATTATAAAAAATAATAATAAAAGAAGTCGGGGTTATTTTAAATAGCTTTATTAAATTAATAAAGTACGCGAGGTTTAAAATAAGACTTTTTAACGTAATTATATATAAAAAAAAGTATAGCCTATTTTTTATAAATAACTAAAATTAACCCGAGCCCTTATTACGGCCCCCTACTTTTTAAATATATAAAAATACTTAGTATTAATATTCGAATTGTTAATAATATTACTAGTTAATAATAAAGGTCTAGGTTACTTAAGTAGTTACTAATAATATTACTAATTCTAACCTAACTAACGGAATAAGTAAGCTAAAGATTTATTAAAATAGTATTTACTTTCGAGGCTCTATTTATATATTTAATATAAGTACTACGCGTCTTAATTAGCTTCTAATTATAGGACCTAGGGATCGCTATTAATATTACTAAAGTTAATACTACTAAATTATTAAGGATTATAATTAGTATACTCTTAATAAAAATGCCTATTTTATTATTTTAGTTTAAAGAGCTTAGTATTATAAAAAGCGTAACGGTTATAAGTTTATAAATAATATCCCCTTTATTATAATTAAAAATAAAAAAAGGTATACGATTACTAATTATATTACCCTCTTTTTTTACGTAGCGAATATATTAACTAAGGAAAATACTAAGCTCTTAGCTAAGTAAATTCTAAATTAT